GAAACAACGCCCAAGTTTGCTGACACAACAGTCCTCTGTATATAACCCTTATCATACTTGTCTGTTAACATAAATGTTTGAGCATTATTGTTTTTGTACACAGAGGCTCGGGCGCAAATTTCCGGACCTACAGAGAAATACCTCAAACCAGGATCGACCCTGCGGCTACAGTGCTCTGTGGTGCAAACGACAGAGGCGCCAGCTTTTGTGTTTTGGTAAATAGCTATTAACGTGTTATAAATTGGTGTATCCATCAAAACATAACAGAAATATTAATAGTTTATATGTAAAGCTTTCTGCAAGAGGCTTCGACTGCGTGGTCCTGTATATAGACATATAAACCTTTCATTTGAATCACTCTGTATATTTATGAAAACCGCTTTAAAATGAATTATACATTCATTATCCATTAAAAAAGTAAATAAATCATGTTTGTTGCTTTCTATGAAGCTTTTCAAAATTTTCGAGTCAAATACAATCGGTCTACTATTACTCCTAAACTTGTGAAGCCAACTTTAGTGTGATAATTTTCCTTATAACTTTCTTAAATATAGGTTATTGCCGCTACGTTTGAATTTTTGGCGACGACCGTTTAGTTGGTTTAGTTAGTTGGGGACACTTGACTCTAATGAAAAGTAGCTAGTATCTTTAAAGCTTATTTAGCTAAGTCACGAAAGGTTTACTTAATCATGAAACGGCCATTCTACACCCCCAACGTTTTGAAAAACCTATCCAACGATACCCTACTCTATGGGAAGACGAAAAAAAATGTCTTCCACACTTTACATCTACTTTACCACTATGTCGGCGCAATTAACGTATTTTCATGTTCAAAAACTATTAGTACTATAATGTATAATGAACAGACGGCTATGGCGAAACTATAAGGATTCCTCGTTTACTACGGAACCCTAAAAAGGACGATCTCTATAGTAGAACGCCTAGGAAAACGGTTTTAAGACGTCGTCTGAGGTAAAAAGGGATTCTTTCCATATTGTCTCAGTTTTGGGTGTGAATATAACGTGTGAAATGGGTGGAAAGCTAAAATTATATAGATGAGTTTCTATTCTACAAATCTGCAATTGTTGATAATACTAATAAATAAAACAAAGATAAAAGACAACTCTTTCTGATTTACTTAGTTCTACTAGATTGCACTTTTATATATATTTAAGTTAGTCAGTCTTTTTTAAAAAACATGTGAAGTTCTGAATAAGTGACAAAACGAAACAGATATGGAATATTCTGTTATAATTCTTAAACTAATTTAAACTTAATGTTATAGTTAAAATGTGTTAATGTGACAAAATAATCTCAGCGTATTATTTTCCTGGTCAAGCGGTATCTAACTTACTAAATGTCTACGGCTCTAGTTTATTGGTGTTGTAATGAGTTATGTTTCCGGAACCGCAATATATAGGTCAAGGTTACCGCGATGCGTGTGAATCCCTCGATTTCGTAAGTGTCTGTAGTTTTAATAGATCCGTATTGTATATTTGTATTTTAATATAGCAATACAAGAAGTAAGTTAGTGCGGTAGTTAGCACATCTGGTCTGTGACTGCGAAATATGAAAAATTGAAAACAATAAAAAATGTGATTAATTATGTAGGTAAAATGTTTAGGACATAGTATCGTATCCTGTACTCGAAAAGGTAATGAGGAGAAAACCTTATTTGGGTAGGTAGTGCCTTTTTCTTAAAAAATAAGAAATTTGCTCTCTACGCACACTTCTATTAGATAACTTTAAGCTTTAAAACCTATTTTTCCATCTTTGAACAATATACGAGGGTCAAACTGAAAGTTCTTAGAAAATCAAAAACTGATTACATTAGCCAGTTATTAGTTTTATTATATCTTTTCAAAATATTGTCCATTCACGTCAATACACCGCTGCATGCGATGGAACCACTGGGAAAAGCACTTTGCCCACTCGTCCTTAGGGGTCTCTTCAATGGCATCGCGATACGCAGCCACCGCTTCTTCAGCATTCATAAACCGCTTTCCTTTAAGTTTTTCTTTAATTTTTGGAAATAAATAAAAATCACAAGGCGCGAGGTCGGGGCTATACGGCGGTGACCCAGTAATTCAACGTTTGATGTCGCCAAATAGTCGATCGTTCGCTTGGCGGTGTGCGACGAGGCGTTGTCGTGGTGAAGGAGGATCCTACTGCGAGGTCGTTTCTCTCGAACTTTTTCCAAGACAAGTGGCAAACAATTGGTAGTGTACCATTCTGCAGAAACTGTTTTTTGATCCTCTAACACAATTGTTGCAAAATGACCTATCCTTCCAAAGAACGAGGCCACCATTTTTTTTCCCGCACTTCGATCTCTCTTCACTTTAGTTGGCAACTCCTCGAAAGGAAACACCCACTGAGCAGATTGTCTTTTGGTTTTAGGATCATAACAGTAAATCCAGCTTTCGTCACCTGTTAGTATGTCGAACACAGCATTTGAGTCACCTCCGTTAAATCTTTCAATCATTTTACGACACCAATCCACACGATGGAGTTTTTGAGCCTCAGTCAAATTATGAGGTATCCACCGGGCGCAAAGCTTCCTGACCGCTAAATGTTCGTGGAGGATTTTGTGCACTTGACTCATACCGATGCCTAAGCTTGTCCGAATCTGTTGATAGGTCACTCTTTTGTCAGTCTCTATCATACGCCGCACAACACAGATGTTATCTTCAGTCGTCGCCGTAGAAGGCCGTCCCTCACGTAAATCATCAGTGAGATTAGTGCGACCACGTTTAAACTCATTAAACCAGTTGTAAACAGTCGCACGAGATGGGGCTTCATCGTGAAAGGCCAATCGTAGTCTATCATAACTTTCTTGTTGACTTAAATGACATCGAAAGTCATAAAAAATCATTGCACGAAAATTTTCTCGTGTTAAATTCATGATGACGTGACACAGACAATTTTCAATTTGCCGCCAAATCGTAAAACAAATGACCAAATGAATGAAATATATACTCAGTAATATTGGCAAAGAGTTATATTTTCAAATTTTAGAATTATTTTTTTATTATATTGTTTATAAGTGGCCAGTTCTAAGAACTTTCAGTTTGACCCTCGTACAAGCTACTGATTCAATAAACTTCTTTGTTTTATTTTCATTAGATGTGGATTTTCTCATCTAAGTATTTCTTATACACCACTAGTAAATACTCTCATTATGCTACCAATCCTCGTTATTAATACCATAAAATACAAAACTGAGTACTCACCAGGGATAGCAGTACATGTTGCTATAATAAATTCCTACTCGATTCCTAGAACTTAATTTCTAATTATTCTGGGTGTTGCTTGCTTGACTGTCGTCAAATTGTTTTGTCAATAGTAAATCTTAAGAAGAAGATTTTCGGTTTTGTTACCTTGCCTAATACTGAAGCCTTCCTTATACTGCTGCATGAACAACCTCGTGATACAAGTGAAAAAATTGCGCTTAAAATTTCGCAGTCTGGGCAGTAATTCGGAGAAAAGAAAATTAATTCCAATGTACTTGTACATGACGAACAAGATAAAAAATAACCCGACTGATAATATACGTCTTTGCTTCTAATTGTTGTTACAATTGTATATCTGATTTGGATATAACATGGAATCGCTAGAGACATACAAGTAATGTCTAGTTAACCAACATTTATTTTACAACATTCTACGGTACCACAAACAAATGGTTTTCAAACAGAGACATTATGATGATAGGAACAAACTTCAGCTATTACTTAAAGTGGCTACTGAGATTGTGTACAGATTGCTTGGAACTATTTCCAAGCCGTATACTCTGGAGTCTTATCAGACTGTTTATGATAATTTCTACAGAAAATGTTTAAGCTTCGTTGAAGATTGCATGCGATAAATTGTATTGGGCTTATTGGCTGCAATAATTGTTATACTATTGTAGTATGCAATATTAGGAATAATAGTAGTGTGTGAAAGCTACAATAACTGTTTAGTACCTAACGGCTTACGTTAGGAGGGAATAGTATAGAGGTATACGAGTACTAGACCTGCATGATGGATTACGACCCATTTTCCCTATGCGATTCTCCAGTATTTGCTCTATTCGGTAACAGTAAGAACTATAATTTAATAGTCATGATAAATAATTGATGAAAGCCTTGTTTAGTCTCTGTTTTAATATTTATTGTGGCAGTGTTACCAGGTCATTTTTTTGCCTTACCCCAGACTTTGTCTCGGTTTACCCTAGATTAAGCATATTTTTGAAAAAATACCCTAAACAAATTCCTATAAAAACCTTTAGAGAGCTAGTTGACCTCCGGACTAACAACTCGCTTTTTATAGGCGATTAAAATTGTTTTCTTGCATTGCAAATTTCAAAGATTACATGATTATATGTTATTTTAACCCCCCCCCCCCTGGTGATAAATGGTAAGGTTTAAGATTATCCATCCATCCAAATCACGTTTATTTTAAGTACCTACAAAAAATCTTAATTTTTGACGCCGCTTTTCGGTTCAGTAATCGTTGCGTGTTAAAAACTTCGTGTTTCGATTGAGGTTCAGCTACAGTTCAGTTGAAAATATTTAGCGCGATCGGGCTCACTCGTTGATGCCATTTTTCACAACTATAGAGTAAGTAAGAAACTACCTTTTACACCTTGTTCACACAAACAACCACAGAGTACATACTCCAACAAGCTCCAACCACATTTAGGCTACAGGCAACAGACACAATCGAAAAAAGACAGGTAAAAAATTTATATGCGTTCACTAATTACTACATTATTGTTGCATTCAAAAACACCAAACTGAGAGTTTTTATGTCTTTGGCAGTTGATTAAATAATATGCTATTAAACGTTAAAGCTTTCAAGCTATTGCCTGCTATTACCCTAAAAAATACCCGCGGAAAATAAATTACTCCAAAAAATACCCTCGAAACATTCATATCCTGAAAATTACCCTGTAGAATCAATTTTACTCTAAATCTAGGGTAAATTACCCTAAGTTGGCATCACTGTATTGTGGTCTTATGGGTTTAATTGCTGCTTTACGAATATAACATTGATTAAATCTTAGACAATTTATAGCTGAGATCAACATAATGTAATTAAAGGTTGCTTAAAATATCGTACAGGCTATGTCCATAACTTATACTATTATATTAGACAGATCTTATGAACTCAAAGTTTTTATTAAACAAATTTTTAAATGTTATTTTAATATTCTTACTACAGCATCTACAATATATGTATTAAACTATACAAAAAACCCAATCCGATTCAAATTAAAGATTACTTTATGAGCAGATTGAAATATTCTTAAGTCTAACAGTCAGTTGCACAAACGTCCATTATTTTACATTAGTTTAAAGCGTCATTACCTATACAAATTTGTCAATCATTAGAGCTTAAAGGCGTCATTAAACCTTAATGGACGTTTCTTGTTTGTGCAACTGATCATAAATTACAATAATAACAAAGATTCAGTTACAACGAGTATGTTGGAAATAAGATATTTGGAAAGTTAGAATTTATTTATTTAATCTTGTCAGAGAAGGATTGCGCCTTTTCTAAAACTTCTAAGTTAAGTCACATCTTGATTGACTCCAAACCCATTCCAATCCCGAAAATGTAGTGTAAATCCCTATGAGATACCGCAATATTTCATTCGTGTTCACTTCGCCGACTAGAAAAGTCCCAGCAAAGCATAAAATATACAAAGCGGACGCGGCTTTCACGGCCAAATAAGCGAATTTAATAAAAAGCCCGTATTCCCCGTCCGGGATACGACTTATCCCGATAGTTCTCTTGACACTTACCCAGGACTCGACGCTAAATTGAAATTCCCGCGGGAGATGTAGGTGGTTTTGTTTTACATTGCGAATCTCTGTGTCCTGTTTTATTTTAACGTTTCAGTTGAATTTTATTGATACTGCCTTATATTCTCTATCCGAGGTTTGTCTGTCGATGTTGTTGTATTTTTAGCAATTTAATAGGTATAACGTTTTATTAAAAATTGTTAAAATATTGTTTTAAAATTCTATTATTTAAATAGTAATTGTACGTTTATGATACAAATTGTTTTGTGAAAATTTGTAAATATTTAAAAAAAATTAATGGTGATGGAAATAATAGCAACAGTTGCAATTGGTAGGGCATTATATACAAAAAAAATTAAATATATTTTTAATTCTTATTTTCCAACCATTTTAGAGAGTTTATTGAAGTTCAAACATGAGACCAATATGTAAATATATGTAATAGGAGAGTACCTACATACAGGTATTGTAAGGGAATGCAGTGGCACAGTTAGTCTGCACATTACTAGATGGCATTATGCGTCAATGAATCGCGCTATAACTGTCGAAACTACGTGTGTGATAAAGGTATATATACATCGGGTCGTCGAGAAAGGGACGGTCATTGGGGAAAAAAGGGACGGGTAGTTGTTATAGAATTATTTGGTAATGCCTCGCATATACTGGTAGGGCCGAGGCCGACCTAGAATGTTCTAGGTCCTAAGTTAGAATATTCTAGATGTGGTTGGTATTGGCCCCGATATATATAAATACGCGATGGGCTAGCTGTCCCGGCATTCAGTGACAAGTGAACTGAATCCGAAAGCGATCGGAAGTGAAAATTGTGATAGAATAGTGTTATGAAGCGAGTTTTGAATTTTGTTGTATTTTTTTTCTAATTTTATGTAGTTTATGTCGGATTGTGAATTTAATTGGCTTTGTATTTTATTCGAACCCTAACTCATAACAATATTATACTTCGAACTTCAATAAACTCTTTGAAAATGTTGGAAAATTAGAAGTTAAAGTTTATTGTTTTCAATATTTTTATATGTTGCTACCATAACCATATTTTTTTTAAAGAATTTCAAAATCAAAATAAATTTATTAAGAGGTATAATAACGAGATCCAACGTAAGCACACAGTGTTTTCTTTACCCAAATTGAATTCGTTCCGGGTACCTTATATAATTATACTTTATTTTTTTTACCAAAAAAGGATTAAATTCTAACATAATATTAGTCGTTGATGTCGATCATATAATAATTTGAGTGGAGGACTTAATATATATTTTTGTGTTTTATACCAATAGTAGAGCTATAGAACAGGAAAAGGAAATGATGATATATCTGTTTACTCATTATATATGTTTTTAATATACAGATATGTTAACTTAACCATTACAATACAACCCTTAATCCTTACGATAAGCATAAGGGTCATAGAAGTTTGATAACATAACAATTTCATTACCATAAAGTTGAACTGAATTAACTTGGTTAATAGCTTTATACTGAAGTGATATTCCTTGACTTATAACTAACAACTAATCTTCAGAGAATAATCTTTGGAGAATAATATAATCTTCACCGATAATGAAATTAAAATATTCTTTATTTCATCTTTATCTATAACCAAATTACATTTCTTTCTAATAGTATACCAGAATAAATTCAGTGAGTATGGTAACTGCGTTCAGTCAGCAACTTACGCAAAGGCGGATTATTATAGGATGGGCAAATGTTTTATTCCAACCAACTCCGTGCTTCGGAAGGCACGTTAAGCCCGGCCCATCCCGGCTGCATTTTCAGTCGTTAAAACCTACCAGTCTGTATTTGATTCAATTCCATCCATAGGGAAAGTCCAAGGCCTAGAAGTGGCGACATTACTAGGCTGAAGATGTGATGTTAGTTCAGTTTAATTATCTAAGCAATTGTCTTAAAATATCCCTCCTTGAGTATCAGGTTTCTCTTTAATGGAATGATCTCTCTTTGATTTACCTTAGATTTACAAATATCTATCTTTTCATTATTTTTTTTAAATAAATACTTGTAATTAACCTTACCTTTAAAAACGATTAAACTTTACCAGTGTAATTAGAAAAAAAGTTTAGCATTGGAGTAAATTTATGCTGTGACTGCACTTAGTATTAGTCGAAATTCATATTACGAGTACTAAGCAGATACATAGCAAAGGTTGATTAGTACAAGGTACTACGGGAGTTATATTTACTGCTAGAAGGTAATGTGTTTGTTTATTCTCTGTATAATATGAATTTAGGCTAATACTAAAATTGCAATTTTATCGTAAATTTACTATGAAGCTAAATTTTGTTTATTAATAGCAGGTTACAGGTAAACGGTATGGTTTAGAGACTTTATGAAGATTGCAACCTTTTTACTTTAACATGCACATTTCTTATTTATATTTATAAACTCATGTGGTTTGGTGTTCGTTGTCATAAATATCAACAAAACAAAACAAGTTCCAAGTACACATAAAAATTTTAAAAAATACAACTAAATTAACTTCTAAGAATTATATAATTATTGTTATGTTTTGGTATTTTATTTTATCTATTGATATTTCTTCTCTTTTTAATCAGGTATCACAACAGCAGAATGATCAACTACGACGCTGAACGTGGCATCAATGTAACAACAAATCCTGCAGAGAGACTGTCTGATCTGCTGATACCGGCTGCTAGCGTTTCACACGCTGGCAACTACACATGTGTACCGAACAACGCGGTACCAGCTAGTATCTACGTTCATATATTCAATGGTAAGTGTCAAAAACGTATAGTACTCGTATAACTAAAACACGCAGAAACTTACTATTACTTCGTAAGAGGATACCTTTGCTGTCATGAAAAATATAAAGATTGGAAAGTTTAATTCAATGCTGTTTACGGGGCATGGGGTTTAAGAGCCAACCTCCACAGACTCAAAAGAAATATATTTTTACTGCGCACTGCCAATGAGTGGAACTCTCTACCGGCGTCCATATTTCCGAGTGTATAATAAATACCCAGACCTGTAATAATAATAACACTTTATTGTCACACCATTTTACAGTTACAATTTTTTAGTAGACAGTAAAACCTACTTCAAACAATAGTTAAATAATTTTAACACCTACAAATGCCGTAAAAATATCCTGAAACATGATTTAAAATCAAACGGTAAAAACATTACCAAAGAAATCTCTCGAAATTTTCAAAACTGCCTTTGAAGTCATTATGATTTATTTTTCGAAACAAAATAATTTTTCTTATCACAAACCTGATTTCATTTTGAACGTAACATTGAAAATTTCGCTCTTAACATGAAAGGGTTTCATTCCTGTGTGGGCAAAATTGAATTCTACGAAAATAAATTTTGGTTCACCTGTCGCGAGCATGGGAAGAATGATAGAATGATATAAAGATCTCACGTTTTGCTCGAATGTCAAAAAGGCTTTCGAATATTCCCATCTCATTGAGTATTTGATTGAATCGATCCTCGGAGAGGCACTCCACTCTTTTTAACGTTAACGCTTTTTTGACGTTACAGGCAAGGATTTAAAGCGAAGTATCGCATATCATTAGATATGCCTACATTTCTTTAACGGCTTTCAATAATCTTCATTAGATTTACGTTATATTATACGTATGCTGTTGTTAATCCTAATGATTATAAAATACGATGATGTTTATAATCATATTAGAAGCTCAATCTTCATGCATATAATTAGTAAGAAAATCTATATAAATTAGTAGATTTGAACGAGCTATGAACCTTACTGTGACTTGAACTCGTGCCAGCCGATACTTCCACAATGAAGAAGTATTTTAAGAAAAAAAAAGAAAGCACTTATAAGCACCACACTAGAGTGCGACTCTACCAAAAGTTGATTTTTGCAGGAAACGAATGGACCAAAGATATTCATTTCTGTTCTTTTTAACTAACATATTAGGAAATTTAAATTTTCAAAGTTCGAAACTTAGATATCAATACAAATACTAAAAAGTACAAATAGAATTTGAGTTATTTATTGAGTATTGAAAATTAATTTACTTTTATATATGAAAGAAAACCGGAAGGGTTGCCATGGAGAAATCAAGAAAGTACCGTAGCAACATTTAGTTTGTTTTCGGAAACTAATGTTTTATTTTAAATACTTCCTCATAAAAACAGTAAGGTAAATGTTCTAAAGTATTTCAGCCAGTTGCACAAACATCCATTAAAATTTTCATTACTTTAAAGTGACATTACCCATACAAATTTTACATTCATTAGAGTTTTAAAGCGTCATTAAACCTTAATGAACGTTTGTGCAACTGGCTGTAAGACTAATAAAAAAAATGTAAATGTTGTTATGATATTCAACCGAAATAGTGGTGTAAATATTAATAAAAAATAAAAAATGAAGATCGATTTTGTTTTAAATTTTGTCATGGTGTAAATTTGTGAGGTTGTTGGTTGTTATACGACCACATTTAAAATTCTTGTCGCCCGTAGCAGCGACATAATAAAATAGTTCCTCGAAACCACAATGGATACTTTTTTGATGGTGCCCCTTTATAGAAAACCAAGAAATTGTTTGAAGCTCTCTAGTTGCCTAGAAACTTTGTAAGCACTCTCTCATAATAATCTCTTACTTTTTCAATCTTCATCATTCTAAAACATTGATGCTATATTTTAAAAAGACCTACTGATGTAGTTGAGTAGCAGTATACATTGAAAAAAAAAATAAAAAAAACTGTGCATCTTTCAAAATCCTTATTCTGTATCATAAAATAATTATGGTCCTTATAACTCACAGGGAAACAAATAATTTGAAAACCTTACTAGGGGACAACTCAAAATGCACAAAAAAATATATATATATATATCTACGACAGGAGTCCCTGTAGACCTCGTTTATAGTTATAATTATAAACAAATATAGAAATTGGTTGATGCTAACAGTTTTATATATGCAAGGGAACAAGAGAGCATGAAGAAACTTGAGATTACAAATTATTATCTGAGCATTCTATAATAGACCTTTTTGCTTCACGTGAAAGTGCAAATCATTGAACTAATCAAACCCATCTAGGTCTGAATAACAGAATATATAATGCAATCCTGAAAACATAAAACCTCCTTAGAAAAAGTAAACCTAGTTAAATGAGATCGATTTATTTAACTACCTAGTCCTCACTCTATTCGACAAAGCAAATGCAAAGGAAAATTCTTCGAATTATCTGTAAACGACTACTGGAATCGATTTCGCGCTATTTGAACTACAATCGATTCGAATTTCCTCTCTATCTATGATCTAAAATTGAAAAGGTTTTCTTCGCTTGCTGAATTATAATCATTGGTTATTCGAAAATCCTCAATAAAAATGTATATGAAAATAAGAAAATTATTGCTATTTATTTTATAATACAATCATGATTTTTAATTCGAATTAGGTATATTCTCATTGAATTCTATTTTAATTTATAATAATAAAGTAAGGTCGATATACCATCACAAGCTCTTTTAAGTCCCCACTGCAAGGGCTTAGGCCTTCCTTATGGATACTTAGGGAGGATGGGCCATAACCCTCCACTCAAAGATCGAGCTGCATAAATAGTCGTACCTATTTTTTATATTTTTTGTACAGATTTGAGGATCTATAAACTTGAGTACATGGTTTTAATTTCAACCCTATCTATCTACACTTTTTCGAAATTACGATCTAGATAGCCCGACGGGCTACAGGCTTCCGTTTAAAACATTAAAAATTATATACCATTGTTTTTATCCTATAAGAATTGAGCAAAGCTTTGGATGTAAGCTAAAAGACGACATATTTATAACAAAAAATCTTTGGTAGCATCTTATCTGATTTTTGTCATTTACCATTGACTTACTGCATCGTGTCTTTATTCTAAAAGCTAGCCGATAGTAAGTCAATAATTAGACAAATGCAAGAGAAAGAAAAATATTTACTATGGGTTTTCATTGCAAACGTGTGTAATTTGATCATTAATCAAGTTTCACATTTTAATTTATGCAACATATGTTCCTAGGGACATCCAACAAATGGCTTATTAAACCTATTTTTAGATGATAGATATCACGCACAAATAAAACATTTAAGTCAATAAATGTTTTTTTTTTTATTTTTCGTATTTTAACATTTATTTTTTTTCCTCAGGTGAAAATCCAGCGGCAATGCAGTCCTCATCACCCAGCTTCTACCATTTAAACTTAAACGGTCTTTTACTACCGACACTAGTTTCATTCCACGTTATACGGTGACAGTATTAAACGAAACACAGTCTTAATTCCTTAGAATTAAAATCCAAACTCGAATGATGCGATGCTTTCCCATTTATGACATAATAAGGTCGTTATCTGTTGCGACAATTACGTTCAATTTCAGCGCACCCATCAAGTGTACGCTTTCTACCGTTCTAAAATTGTTATAAAGTCTAACAACAAAGAATATATACACTACGTACTACGTATTAAGAAACAACATTCGTATATGTGTACCCGTAAAACTTATGCCCTTAGTGCACCGACGCATTCGTTAGCGAAAGCGAAACATCATCTATGTAACGTTTTTTGCAGTTGCCTGCGAAACCGTACTGACAAGGAGTATTTTGTCGAGCTAATAATAGAGCACATGCGAATTTTTTTGTCGTTTCGCATGCGATAGCGTCGGTATATTAACGGGGTTATCAAGACTTTGTATATGAGACTACCAGGAGCTTATTGGTATATTCAAATATTCACGTCGATGGAACGTCGATACTTATTGTACGATATTAAGCATGGGTTGGCGACTCACCGCAAGTGATCCTTTACCGCTACGGGTACCGAGAACTAGGTTTTGTAAAGGGGTGCGTCGATGCGATTTCCTTCACCTTCACCTTTCTTCCGAAAGTCCATTCTCGATAATGTTCTCGAAATAATCTGTTTCGGTACTGTAGTCACTTACGGTCAGTTGCACAAACGTCCATTAAGGTTTAATGGCGCCTTTAGGCTCTAATGAATGTCAAAGTTGTATGGGTAATGTGGCTTTAAACTAATGACAATTTTAATGGATGTTTGTGCAACTGGCTATTAGTCACTACACTCGATTATTTATTAGTTAGTTTCGAGCAGGTTACATAGGCCATGATCACGGGCTGACTGTTACTACGATGCTCCGAGTTATCCTCTGAGAAAAAACTTAACGGTGGAAGTGGATTTCACTTCAGAGGAGTAAACAGAGCATCTTAGCAACAGTCAGCCCGTGAACACGGCCGGTGTAACCCGGTCGCAACGTCGGGAAATATAGGTAGGTGAAAAACCTAACTATCAATCTATCGCGTTATTACCCGTTTCATACAATCTAATATGGCGACTATTTTCACTTGAGGCTCATTCTGTTATGTTCTCCATCTTTTTATAGAAATCAAATTCATTTTGCTCTCTGTCACATTTTCTTAAGGTATTTTCTTTAAAAAGGCCAACAATCAACCCGCTATATTCTCTGTTACACATAGCCATAAGGAAAGGCTGTTTACGGTGTTCTAAGAATTAATAGCACAGTAAATTTACTCGAGCGTAGCAAATTTAAGTGGCTGATGAACACATTCGCCATTTCATTAGAAACATATAAAGTACTAATGAAATCAACTAGTCATAACTTTATCATCATCATCATCAGCTGTACGTGTGTATATCGACGCCCACTGCCGAGCATTAACTCTATATTTAAACAAAATTCCTAGAAAAGTGCTTATGTATAAACGGCTTTTCTAAGTATTATCATATATCATATATTACGTATTTTTTTTAAAACAGATTCTTGAATAAGAAATGAAATAGAAACTTAAATAAAGAAATCGTGTTCTTATTTATTTTAAAATACCTTGAAATAGAACAAAGATGCCCACTGAATAAGGAGCTTTCACTGTAGAATATAAAAACAAGGAAAAGCTAAAAATGAAATCTCAGTAAATTGAAACTGCAATGTAACTACAACTTAGAATGACATTGCTTGTTTAAGGTTTTTTTTAATATTTAGGTTTCATTATAAATATTGTAAGCTTTATTTTCCTATGTCTCCTTTTCTTTATTCAAAATTTCTATATATTTTCATCTTCATATAAAACATACAAAAACCTTCTTCATATTTTCACTACCCTAGTAGGCTATCAATTAGTTCGCCCTCCGTAATCATTTGGCTTCCACCATTACAGAAATTGCGATAATTGTACGACTTCTGGCATATGTTGATAACGATAATGAAAGGATCCCTTAATCGTAGAGGTATTTTGGTGCATTTAAATTCACTAAATGTGTGTAATAATTGAATTCTATGATTTTCAATTTCAATAACCGTTACCATAAATGCAGTGTCTAAAAATGGATCATATGAATCAATATTTCATCCTCTACGCACCAGCTTTTTTCTTTGCTGCAATTCAAACTTTGTCGCGAAAGTGAGACTCAGATCTCTGCCATTTTTCCTATTGTTTTGAGTCGATGATTACATAATTGAAAACTGATAATGTCAAAGTCTCTTTTTTTATAGGTAACAGTATTGTTTAAAAAGAATCAATAGTTAGAAAGTTCACCACTGAACAAAAAATCTGCACGACTACTATCCCATGGGGTGTTTGTCGTTTCCCCGCGATCCTGACCAGGTTTACTCTTAAGCGCAATCTCAATTTCAATCCACTCCAATAACGACCTCAATTTTCGTCTGAACATAATTCTCTTGAAACACAATTCTTTAATATTACAATTGAGTATAAGAACATAAACACGAATAGTCTCTGTAATAGTGATTTGAAAGAAAATGTATACAGACTCAATATCATTTGGTTCATTCAATAACCTATCGATTAACGAGTGTCACACGTCAAAAGTATCGAACGCCATAATAGATCGATTGCGATTAGGGTTTCCGGTCTATAGCAAAAGCATCCATCTTGTGAATCGATTCGAATAGGAGCCTTTAAGATCTATTCGGAAAAAAACGATGACGTAAAGATCGATCTGTCAAAGTTCGATTCATTGTCCTAATGTCGTACAGAAACTTTTGGATATCTAAATTATTGAGGTATTGAATTATTACAATAACGTAATTGTAAAACGATAATCATTATTTTATGATTATGCCGTTGTTTTCTAATTTAATGAGAAAAACCAAAGATAAATACATTATAGACATCAATAGTAAAAATCGATTATCAATCTGTCCATTTTGCGATTGATCGAGGACTTCACTGTCCTACGAACTATATGCCTTGCCCATTGCCACTTCAGGTTTCCAATTATATAAAAAAAACATCAGTTATCAAATCACTGCACTTTGTTATTTCAGAAAAATTAAAACAGTTGTTGTATTTGGATTTTGTATATAACTACGAGTATATATTCAGTCGTGCTTTTTAGATATACATTTTAAAATAATGTTCTATTTTCAATGAACTGCTTAAGCATCGCACCTCCGGGTTTGAATAATTTAATTATATTGACAACACATCTTAAATACATCCATCATTGTAAAAAATATTATTGTATGTAATTCTATGGGAATGAATGAATGAGTAATTGTACGATATTGTACGATAAAGTATAACTATAAGTTCCTTGTTATTTATTGATTTAGTTATTATTTATTTGACTTTTTAGTTCCCTATAGGTATGTAACATACTTACATATGTATGTTACATACCTACATGAAACTAAAAAAAGAAGTTTGGAATCGTAAATCACAAAACCTCTTACTTATATTTAATGAAGTAATTAAAATCTGTACGCCAAGCTACTAATATAATTTAAAAGAAGACTTTTGTTTAACACTTACGGGGATTACTCAGGGTTCTCAAACCTTTGTGGCTGACTCGTGTGTAAAAGATAGTTTTTGAGAAAGAATGAACATTAACTTACACATACTTATTTATGCTTGATTTATGCTTTTGAGCAGCATTTCTTGAGCTTGGTTCGCACGAGAAGTTTCATAATACACCATGAGCAACGCACGACTTTTTATGAAACATAATGTAAAATATCATGCCGACTACACGGCATTAACCATCCATACGGAAGGCTGATGATGATGACATGGAATTTGTAATTTACGTTGAGTTGCTAGTAATACAATAAAATGTCTATTAAGATTTTTTAAACTGTGATTAATAAATACTTACATAGTTGGCGTACAGGTCTCGTAAAATAACAATATAGATGGTACCTATTTATTAAAAAACAAAGTAATAATTTGGGTTAAACTAATTTAAATAAAAAATATTCATTTATATATGTTCTTCTTCTCAAAGCAACGGTAAAATTCAATTTATTACCTTAAAGTGATTAAGTTTCTATGTATAGTAATAAATAGAAATTCACATAGTTTTAAGGTTCTTTAAAATTAGTAGTTAACAGAATTGATTTAGTTTAATTAATTTATTGTATATACCTACAATTATATTAAGTTAAAATGTAAAACATGAAAGCGCTTTGAATATTATGGCTGTCCGCTATATTGTTATTATTTCCAATATCGTTAATCTCCATGATCGCGCAAGATGTCGCCACTTCTGAGAGGACCGGTTCGATTTCCTGTCGGGTCAATGAAGAAAAATGTACTTTTCTATATTGTGTCGGGTTCGGGTCATGTGTTACCTTTGTAGTTTCAAATTTCCGTAATATAAGTCCTTTAATTAACTATTTAATTTAGGATCTCAGTAATCTACGTGATGTTTTTTTTATTATTTATTTAGTAAGCTATTACAATTGTGACATAAGTTTACCAGTAAGACAGCCTAGTTCCATATTAAAATATTTTAGTACCTTCGTAGATTAATATTATTTGGTTATCTCTTCATGAGAAAAAACTTACTGTTCCCTTATAGTTGTTACCTATACTATTGTTACTAATAATTTTTTTGATGATTTTATATAAAATGCCTTTTACGTGTAGAAATTAACCAGTAAAGATGTAATGGCATTGTTTCTTTTATCAAAAAACTTATTAATGAAATTGATAAATGTTTACCGTCCAAATTTTATTTAGTTGAACTAAATAACAAACTTCACAAAAATATCGCAGGATTCTTTATATATTTTAATTTAATTGTTGAGTGAACATTAAATTGTGTAAATATTCAAGTACTGTTTGTGATGATCACTGTCATAAGTTGTCGTATTAATATTAATATTGTAAATATAACAATGTAAGCAGAACCACATTTAAAATATACATAACTGTTCATTTTAAAACTGGTTTCATTTATTATCTATTCTAATAGTATAGAGAGGAAAGATTTGATGGTCAGTACGATGTAGCTTTTCTAGATGAAAGAACTTCTCAAAATCAGTCCATGCACGGAAAAACTTTTTAGTTTACAATACTACAAAACGTCTAGGTTAAGAGAAATACTGTAAAG